TTTCATCATGCATAATATGTAAACCACATTCTTTAATCAATAGTTATAGCAGTAATAGTTTATAGACAGAGGTCTTCACGTAAAGATTGGGATCATTTTAGTAAAACTTCACATTCCCTTAATTATTTAATTGTTGTAGCTCATGAAATGTAACATTACAGTAAATCTTTGCACAAACATCTCAGCTTCTTCTTTCAGGATACGAAACAAGAATGTAAGAACGGACCAAAGAGCCCACAGAGCATAAAATATGTAGTTTGTCCTTGCATTCGGTCTGGACCGGGCTATTCTCCGGCATTGTTCTACGCCTTGCCTGTGCATACATTTGTCACTGAATAAGACAAAAACTGTCAGTTCTTAAATTGACAATTGAGCTGAGAAATGATGTACAAATTGCTCTCAGTGGGCTGCACTCATGTCATCAGGCGGTGCATCTCTGGAACAAGCAGGTGTTACACATTTAGATGAATAAATGACAGCTCTGAGGACAAAGACGTGAGCAGTGACCATCATTGTAAATCTGGCTCATTACTTTCAGAGGAAATGAGGGATGTTGTTGTAATGTTAATGAAGAAACACTAGTTTCACTCTAACCGCCGTTTGGATGTAGATGCTCAAAATCTTCAAAGCCAGCTGAGTGACAGCAGAGCTTCACTTTTGACTGGATGTCAGAGGCTTGGGGCTGCAGTCAGGTATGGCAGGAAGTCTGTTCATGCTCATGCATATTGAATAAAAACCCTAAGAGCAATTGAACATCTTCTGAGGTCTGTTTCAAATAATTAAATACCAATTAAATACCAACCCGACAACCTTCAAGTGATATTTATCTTTATTTATCCTATACTGGTTAAAAGATTAGTGATAGACCGAAATCTGGCATTTGGAGATAATCGACATCGGCTGAAACCTGCTCTCACGAGGCCGATATATAATCCTAAATGATATAAAATCTAATCTAAAACCATTACTGGCTAGCGTTAAATAAATATTGTTATGCTGTAGAGAAAAATGCAGCTGAATGACTTCACTTATGCAAACTGTATCCTAGTCCTTAAACACCAGTCACATTATCTGCAGCACCACCTAATGTATTTCATTAATTAATAAACTTCCATCTGAAACAACACATTACTGACTAGGATAACATGTATATTAGATTGTATTTTCTATGAAATAATGGAATTATACATGACTTCTTTGTTTTGATGTAGGCAATATATATTGGCCATCAGCTCTCTAAATATAAGCATTATTAACTCTATGGGCACCACATGGAGAAAAAACACAGGTCAGGAAATAGCCTTGTTTCTTTTTTAGTGTTGCAAAGAATTATAGCCTCAGTGGCTCAGTTTGTAATGATGCAAAGTTTATGTCAGTCTCATTTCCTTAATTATAACCTTCACAAAAAACTAAATTAGTTCCACCATTTTGCCAGTAAAGCTCACATTACAAAGTTTCCTTTCTTTTCTCTAGAGTTGCTAGAAAATATCTGCCAGCTGCAAATTAATACTGAAATAAATACAGCCAGCTTGCTCCAAACGACTGACTTATGTTATTGTCAAATGGTAAGGCATTATCCATACAGTAAAAAAAGCTTCTCCTGAGAGATGAGACATTTACAGAAACACACCAGCTGACTGATTCCATACCCCAAGCCGTGTGACAGCTTGGCCTGCTGCTGCAAGGTTTTTAATGGCTCTGGACAAATACAGTAAATTGCCTCTTTAAATATTGTAAGCAAAAGTGTTGAATGTGCAGAATGTAAAGGCTGTGTAAGCTGTACAAGGGAAAAGGAATCGGTGGGGCACATAGTTGTTAATCATGCTTGAAAAGACACAAGACAGGTAAGGCATGAAAACCTTGTATGTCATGTTTGTACACCTCATTTCCTGCACGAGGATCACAAACGAGGATCACAAACGCTTACTCACCTACACACAACACTGACCATAATCACCTGTACTTGCTATTAAGGCTATTTTTACTAGGTTTTTATACCAAATCTTTACAGATTTATGCCATGTGTTTGGTTATATTATAAAAGAATATCCACTTGGATATTGTGTAAAATAGTGTGTTGAAAAGTGGTGGGGATATAAGTGCTCAGATTAGGGGTGTGATGATACGCTTGCACGAAAACAAGACGAATAGATTTTTTACAGTATTTTGAAGAAATATGAAATGCTGAAATATGAGCAGGGGATCTGGAGCATTATACTTAATTTCATGCATTCTAGAGACATTTTCTGCTCCAACTTATGGCAGAAATGTCTTTTTTTATATAAAGGGAAACAAAAAATTCCACTAGTAGGTGACTATTCAGAAATATAAAAATATAACTGAATATATGCATGTTATCAGCAGCTTATTTTTCAGCTTAAGTTTCTTTTTTTGGACAATGCACATTTATTTCTCCTATATTTAAATTGCACTTCATGTTTTCTTATTGTGCAAATAAACCTTTCTCAAAGCATTTTAATTTGTTAGTTAGCATTTCATGGTGCAAGCTATTTTCAGAACATGTTTTTCAAAAAGTGATGGGGACAAAATCAGCCATTTTAAAATGTGGTGGGGACATGTCCCCAGCATCCCCAGTGTAAGTGACACCTATGTTCAAGGTATATAAAAACCATGTGAAAAGAACAATCTGAGCATTAGCTCAGTCCAAAAATTTACAGATAGTGTAAAATGATAATTTTCCCCATGTTTCCAATGTTGGTGCAACAATTGCCGTGCTTTGTGGAACTCAAACAGGAAATGTAATAATAACTTACCCCTGTGGACGCTGCAGCACCCCCACCTCCCCAATCCGCATACTGTACATACTGTCCACTCAATAAAAATGTTCAGGCTTTCACATATTGTTATTACTCCTGCTACTGTTAAGTACTTCTGATGCTGCTATTATTTAAGCATAGATATACATATAAGGTGCATTTACTTCAGATACTGGTTGGACTATGCACTTTATAGTGCTCAAATCATACCATGCTGACTCCACATTACAGTAATAGATCAGTTCTGTTTCATCTAATGTCAGTTACTGTGTTATGTTGTTTGGTGTCTTGTAAGTTGGATTATTGTGACTTTGTTTTTTAGTAACCTGGACTGTAAGAAACTGCATTTCTTTCATATATATACACTTGGTATGTGAATTAATTACAATAAACAAACCATGGGCGATATCTGAGTACATTTCTTTAGCATCAATCACTAACAATTTCTGTTTGCACAGGAACTGACTTTGATTATTATAAGGCAAGACAATTAAAAAAGGAGAATATTTTTTAGATTATTTAAAGTCAAAAGATGATTTTAATGACTAATCATGAACACGTATCCTCAGTTGACATCACAAACATCACTGGAAAAAGACATCTGGGGTGATCCCAGCAGAATATGGCTGTATGACATATTTGGACTCAGATGTCAGATAAGTAGAGACAGTCTAACCCTCCAAGCTGGTGACCTTCTACAGTAGATGATACCACCACTCAACCAACATGCTGTGTATAGTAAATAATGATACAGTAATTATTGTGTTGACAAGCTACAGTTTGTCAGTTTCACAGTGTTTAGTTGACCTCCTAAGAACCCTCTAACCACAAGCTGTTTCCTAAGCACCAAACAACATGAAACAGGAATATGAAATTAATACACTGCAAATATCTCCATACATATTAAAACTCGACCCAGACAGAGTATCTGGCTATTATCGTGTGCTGTGCAGCCAATTTTCCAGGCGGCAGCTTAATGTTGCGTCGATGGATTAATATTTTGTAGGTCTGGGGGAGTCTAGTTTTGTTTGCCGCCTGTGAGGCTGACACTGCTGACTCTCGCAGACTGTAATTGATCAGGTTTGTGTTCTACAGGCCCAGGTGATTACTCTCAGACAGACTCCAAAACAAAGGGTTCATAAACACAGCCTAAGCTATAGCCAGAGAGAGAAGCCAGCAGATGCGAATGGTCCTGTTGAGATAAACTACGTAGAGAAAAATGCATTACTGTGCTTTGTGGGATTAAATGAGGAGGATGCTGCTGGTTTTGTAGCACAGTATTGTCTTTCAAAGCATTATTACTGACTATATACATATATACTGACTGGGGCGACTAGACTTATCACCGGTCCTTTAAAACAAAACCTGTTACTATTTACTAGACTGTCTATTTACCATACCACATAGTTTGTGGATCTCTAAAGTAACTGGAAATGATTTTTGAAAAACGAAGCTCCATATGTGTTTGGGATTCCGCAGCGTTTGTTCAGGCTGGTTGCCCAAAATAGTAATTTTTTTCACAGTGGCTCCCACTGTGTGACCGTCTGATCCGCCTTAAAAATCACATGATACACTTCTCCAGTTCTTTACCTTTGTTTATTCTTTTTGTTTACCACATACTGTACAGTCAAAAGTCCTCTAAATCCTCAACATTTTTGCTGCTTTTCTATTGCAGTCAATCCTGTTCTTTAACTTTTAGTAACAGTTTCCCTTAGTTTTGATTCTGCATGAAGCGTAACTAAATATAAAGCTACCGTGAGTTTTTAATAATTTATATGCAGCATTATATTCCAGGTCCAAGCATTATAGTCAAGTGGTGTAGTCTTTTTTTCCACTATCCTATTTATCTGACATTAATGTTACCTCTTGAAAATAAATTAATTGGATAATGCTAAAAAACAGACTTAAGTTGGCTTTGGCTGCGGCTGAAAACAAAAAGCATTTACAGTGCATACTGTTACTGCTTTTTCAAGAAGATACAATGTGTTTAGATTATGACTTTGACAATTACTGAAATGCTACTAAATAAAACCATCAGATACCAATTCATCAAGTATGTTTTTCATGTTAAAGTAACAACATACAAAACACAATTTGCTCATTTCCATTTGAAGTAAAATGTTGTCAGTGACTATGAGGGTAGAATGGCAGGCAGCAGCAGCCAAATCACTTTAAATGGGCATTAAGCATAAAGCAGGACAGCAGTTTACTGAGAAGCCTTACCATGAAGCTCCTCCACAGAGATGCTGGCCAGCACGTCGCTGTCACTGTCTGACAGCGAGCGGCTCAGGTAGTTCCCCTTGTAGAGCAGGCCTGCCGTCACATGGTGGAACGGCATCTTCTCCCTGAGAGACGACAGAAGGAAACATTTAGACAGCGAAGGAAAGGGAGGAGCTCTAGAGATCTCCTGGGTTTTTTGAAAGATTAATTTTGAACACAAACACCAATTAAATGCTCCACACATTACACATGTTTCTAAACAAGGTGAAAAAGAAAGCAGCTCGCATGTGAGATTTTTCATGGCTACTGCAACACGAATGTTATCGGGCATTCACATTAGTCACTCACCAAGAATACATTGACGTGCAAGGTGCATAAATCGTCATTGCTTTCATGTTTGTTTTAAATCAAGTAAAAAAATGACATGACGTGAGCCCATAATCAGCTATAGGGAGCTGATTTGCCCATTTGTAACATTGGGGAAGCTAAAACAAATGAATGTCCATGGGGCACAGCATAAACGAGATCCATAAATGAAGCAGAACTCATTCACTAAATGGGAAGTCACACAGTGATGGAAACTCATAACTAGAGGTAAATGTAGGGAATGTGTGTGTATGTGCGGGTGCGTGAGAGCAGGTGCGCCTGTACTGTATGTGCAAATGTGACTGAGGCAATTAATTATGCAATAATCTGAAGGCCAAGGGCACAGAAGGAAAATAAGAGCACATAGAGCAGAGAGATTTGGGCGACTACTTCCTTCTTTCTAATTGGATTTCATCTTGATGAGCACTTGGAGGAGATGCTTTTGAGACAGAATGAGGAGTTCAAAATGTGCTAAGGCATTACACCGAGCCCAGTGCAGAACACTGAACTGCCCTGAAGCACTGGGCTTCTCAATGTGTTTGTCTCTTTTATCAACTGAACTTTATATGATATTTCTGTAGAGTCAAGTAAGCCTCATAATTACAAGAGCTTTGATAGCACAAACTCATCATTTAACATCTTAAAAGGGAAACATGCTCTTTGGGAAACTAGAGAAGAAGTTAAATTTGCAACAATTCATCTCTTTGGGTTTTCAGCAGTGCAGACAATAAAAAACTCAAGTTTTATGAGTGTTATCCTTAGCATGACACATACAGGCTGCTGTTCTACGTTATTAATCAAATTAATTAATATGTTCTCTCTCTTACTAAACGATTATATACTACACAAGATAAATCATCACTGCACACATACTGCTATTTAATAAGGCATAGCAAATGTAACAAAGGGTTTATAAGTTGTAACCAATGTTATATTTATGTAGTGAATGCTTTATCTGTACGATTTTCTGAGTTGGCTGAAAAAATCCCCTTGGCTTACATATCCTCCAACAAAACCTTAAGCTGGGTCTTGAATTAATCCTGTAGGATGGAAGTAAGTAATTGTTTTTAAGCACTGTTCTAGTGCAAATACGTTTTTTGCAATAAAAGATAAAACTAACAGAGAGAGAATACAAACACATTAAGACCTCTTCAATGAGCAGTTTAGTTATTTGCAAAGTTGTACATTACTTACATTTATAACCGCCGACCTGAGGCCTGTTATAAACTGAGAAACTAATGACCCTTTATAATTGACAGACTTCCTAATTAGCCATTAAATCTTCTGGCCAGGGCCCTTTGCTGCATGTCATCCCCCCTCTCTCCCCTGCCCTTTTCTGTCTCGCTCTGCTGTACTGTCAAAGTAAAGCAAAATGGCAAAGCAATACAGTGCAAGTTATGCTGGAGGAAGATACACACCAGGGATTCTTTTACAACTTGGAAACCACAACATCGTTCTTATCAAAAGGTGCATTATTGACACGTAAACCAGAAGTCAGTGATTCATTAACCATGAATAAACCATTAACATATACACTCATGCATTATATGAAAGTAGTGTACTTTGCTAAAAACTTGTTTATTTTGGCAAAATGGCATATATGAATAGGTAAGACACAATTACATTTCAAATTCTTAAAAAAAGACTGTCATGTCATGTTCAGCAAATCAAGTTGGAACATGAAAACATTTAAACTGAGCCAACCAGAAGCAAAAGGAACATCAGCTCTGTTCTTTAATTTTAGTTTTTGCTTCCATAAGTCCCATTTGAGGGCTTTTCAACTCTACGTCTGCCAATGCTCATGTTTTACTGATTTTAGCTGCCAGCAATCCGTTACCTCACAAATTGAAAACTGGTCCCTACATCTTTCTTGTTTGTCAGTTTAATAAGCATGCATATCAAGATGTGTGCCCCTATGCCGAAAGCTTTTTTTATGACCAACTTTCATCGCACATAATGTCAGGATTTTTCATTTCTTAATTCATCAATTATTCAGTCTTCTCTCAGCTGTCATTATGAATATTACAATCATCGCTCTTGTCCGTTCTTTCTATATTATCGTTATGAGCCAACCCATATATATATATATATGCTACTGTCGGCTGTTTGATACAGGTGTATCCCAACCTGGGTTTGTGTTGCTGAGGTCAACATGAAGAAATATTGATCAGAATGATTTAGCTTGCAGGGACAGGATTTACATATATTTCACCATAGTCAATTCTTCAGGAGTAGACTGCATTCAGTGTTAAATAACTCAATGACTTGTTTTGAAAATGTGAATTCCTTTGAAAAGCAGGGTATGGAGAGAAAAGCTCTGGAGGAATAAATTAAAGGCAATAACGTTATGCTGCTTAAACTTTTGTCCTTAGGCTTTACAATGGCAAAAGTCGGCTATGTGTGTTTTATTTGCATGTAGGACATATGTGGCTTCCACTGTGAGTCTTCACACGTTTCTGACACTTGGCTGTGCAATCTGAAGTAATTTCATTATCCAGCTAAAAGCTCACACTAACCATCATTGAGCAGAGAACAGACATCGGAAGTTCAAAGGCTGGACTGGAAAGTACCAAAGACAAAACAGTACTACAAGTATTTTCAGTAGTCGTATTAGTATAGTAGTATATCTTTTGTAATAAAAGTATTTGGTGGTTGCAATTACTAGCTCCATTACAGATAGTTTCATGAAACATGATGCATTGTTGGAGTTTAAACATCAGCAACAATTGGGGGTATTCAGAATAGGGCTGAAACAATTAATTTAATAAATCAACAATTAGTCAGTCAATCGACAGAACAATACTTATAATTTTGTTAACTCATCACTTAAGTAGTTGAGAAAACAATCTCTCAACACACGATCCATTTAGTAGCTGTTCTGTTCTAAATGGACCTTGCGGTGACATTGTTTTTCCAACTGAGAGTGAACTTTGAAACTACATTATTTATCAAAGCAAAATTTAATTTACTGGTTTCTAGCTTCTCAAACGGGAGGACATTCTGCTTTTCTCTGCTTAAGGCCAACGCCACTTGAATATCTTTGGTTTGGGGCTGTTGGTCGGAAAAAACCCCCCAGCAATTTCATGGCAAACAAAGACGCAGTGGTGTCTACAAGCACAGGAGATAAGATTACTGCAATATTTTATGAAATTATCTCACAAGGACATAATGTTTATTAATGCAGTAGCTAAGTTGTGAGATAATGTGCTGAAACAATAAAACACCTGATATCCAACGTCTTGGGAAGACAGTGTTGAACTGAGCTGTTCACAGCCTTCAGTATCATTACACTTGATTAAATTGATCAACGTCTCAGCTGAACAAGCTAGATTGCCCTTCAGGAGCAGGGCAGCATACAGTAATCACTTAAATCAGGAAGTAATCACTGCCTCAACACAAGGCCACTATTTTTTACCTCATCAAATCACTATTCCTTGTATAATCAGTGATATACTATATCAGTATAGAGGCCAGGATTCTTTTAATAGTCAGACTGACTGATTATAATGGGTCATAGAAATAACTTAAATAAAAAAAACAACATCACTGGATGGTACCTCAGTATTTTTCTGAGCATGCTGCTTTGACGATTTCTGCAATACCCAATTTACAATGATATAGAACCACAGAATCCTCCCATTTGAGAGCCCATCCACTAATAATCAAGTAATTCAAAAATCAGTTTTACTCATTACCTTTAAATGGACTGTGAAGAAGCTATCTTGTGTGAAAGTATAGAGGCCTAAACAGGGTAAATTGTTTTAGTCAAGCCCTTGTATATAGACTGACAAGAACAAAGCAAGGAACGTGACACTAAAAGCAGAATAAACCTGCCCTCGTTTTATGGGATAATAACTCAAATTTTACATCACATTGAGGCCATTAGCTAATGCTCGTATCCAAAGTAAGTTTCAGTGACTGAGTAAGTCGGAATTCAGTGTGTGGCTCAAGGACACGTGGAATTGACAGGACATGCGGTTGTTGATGCACTAGCTGTGATTGGACCTGTGCCATTAATCATAGGGAAACCTGACAGTGCTTTTTCTTGTGCTCCAAATTTAAGCCCAAATCTGTTTCCACACATCCTATCACCAGTCTAATACTTTCTTAGTGCTGAGTTAGTATAAGTGACAGTTAAAGAGGACCTATTATGCCCATTTCCAGTTCTATATTTTTATTCTGTTTATTTCAGTAGAGCAGCTTAGCATGATTCAGTTTAAAAAAAAATCCTCTGCAAGCCGTTTTTGTTCCTGTGTCTTTAAGGCCCTCCTCTGCAAAAGCTCACTTTCTTATGATTGGCTAACTGACTGGCCAACTTCTTGGAAGCCTGCCCAGTGCTTATGGCGTGTTAAATTTGACATGGGAAGTTGAAATTCCCAATTTCCAAGTAGAAAATTTTAACTACAAGGCCCCCTTAAGTTGGATTTCCGACTCAGAAAGTCAGGAGAACCTCACCAACATTAAATTGATTAAATCTGTTGTCTGTTGTTCTGGAAAGCTGTCAACTCTGGTGCCCCCAGGAAGCACTCTGTGCTTTGAAGCCAATTTGACATAATGGCCAAACGGTGGAAATACAACTTCTTGGTACGCCACATTATGTGCACTGGCCCTAAAAGACTTTTGCCCATAGACTTACATTGTGAATGAAGTGACTTTAATTCCAGTCTGATACCATTTGGAAAGTCAAGAAGAGCCGCACGATTATGGTAAATCCTTTTATCCCCCTTCAAATGAGCGTAGGGCTAAACTGGAAGTTAGCCGCTCAGCAGTAGTCTCTAGTGAGCTTGCATTTGTGAGGCCACACAATGCAGAAGATATGTGGAAGATCAGAGTCATTTTACACCTGGAAGTTGAACTTTTTTTCATCATGGGCTATTGAGCAGCTTTCATAGGAATGAATAGAGCCCCGCCTTCAACGCAGTACCCAGTTATCTTTATATATCCATGCTGTAACTTATTTTTTTCACACCACATTTTCGAAACTGCCTCTGATTGACTGGTACTCATTGCCTCCATAGATTAAGTTGGTTGAGGTTAGCAATCAGAACGGGGTTAGGGTTGGCCAATCAGAAGCAGGGTAGGGGGCATGGACTTGACCCAAAGCTAGTGTCCGTCAAGTGGGGGTTGTCGAAAATCTGGTGGCAGTTCTCTTTATACACCTACGGCAACTCTGTACAGCTAGTATTACAACTTTTCAGATCCTCTCAGAAACAATTTTACAGTAGCTACTTATTCAGATCACCAGGTTAAAGGCATGAAATATATTCAAATTTAAATTGTAATTCATTCCCATGCACGCTGCACAGATGTTCTGCCATCAGCACCAGGGTCTCCCTCCCCTCTTGCTTTGGGCACAGGCAGTCAGTGTGTGGGGTAGGAAGCATCTCTCTCACTCTTTCTTTCTGGATTAAGATGTTACAACTAAATATTTAAATAGCCTGTTTGATTGTCTCCCTCCATCCTCCAAGTTTTACTTCAAATATACAATGTTAGTGTTGTGAGTTTGTGATCATTTGGCCTAAAATTTCTCTATCTACCTTCTGTATGGCTTAAGCTAAGGTGATTTTAAGCTTTATGTAAAGGAATCAACATGTGAATGAGTGTATTATGACATCTGGGGACGTTTAGTGACTGTTGAAGCTAGTATTAGCTACATACATAAGAAAAGAGTTTGCAACCCTGTCCAGTGCTGTGAGCCCACACACTGCCTCATTGTCTTGCTGGTGAGCTAAACGGCAATGAGAACTATAGTAGCTTAGCTTGGAAAATAGTTATATGGGGCACTAAATTATATGAATTTACTGTTTATCAGACAACAAATGAGACAATAGACACCAGTTGAGTGTTACTGACTTTAGTCACGGATTTTTGGTGAAACTGGATCATATTTGATGTAGAAAATATTATGCACTGCCTCAACTCTGTGGAGTCTCCTGATGGACAGAGTGTTTTAAAGTAACATTTAACTGCTTGTAGCTGCCATTATCTAGTTAGCTGAATTAGCCATGTAGCTAGTGGTTAGCTGCCCGTACTAGGAGCTCGGGGCCCAGAGTGAGTGTTTTGGATTGCCAAAAAAAGAGAAGATTCTGCATGCTCAGTCAAACTTTGTAAATAGAGCATCTTTAACTTGGACAGGATTTTTACATAAAGACCTGCATCAGATGATGTAATTACCTGATAAAAGTCTCTTCATATTGTAATGATTTGAACACTCGATCAGTATACAGCATGCAGAAGCTCATTTATCTTTTTTTATTTGATTGATTACCATGATTAAAGTCCCAAAATTGATGCATAGAGGATGGCTGCCTACGTTGATGGATTTAATGATGGTGTCTAAATTGTGATGATGATGTACAATCAGTCAGTGCAGAAAAAAACATCAGCTCTGTGGTTTGAATGTACAAATGTGCAAATTTCCTATTTTATAAGAAAATGGTACATTTAGGAAAATAAAAACAATCAGAGCACATAGTCTTGTTTTCTTTTTTTCTCCCCAAATCAAAATATTTCACGATAGCTTGACAGTAGACAAACTATTACTGCATCATTACAGTGCTTTCAAGTCTTTCCAGAGTTGTTAAGACTGGGTCGTGGCAGAACTGAACCCAATTACAGCAGATACATAAATAAAACCACCTCCACTAAAGTTGTGTACGTGCCTTACAGGGAAAGCACTAGTTGGACTGACACTTCAAGGATGAGACAAATATGACGTAACTAATCAAAACACTCTGACCCTGAAGGAAGAATCAGTAAGCCACAATTAAGCTGTTGCCATTAAAATGCTGCATGCTTTCAACAAACCGGCAAGAAGGCATAATGAATGCATTCTCCTTTGCAAACTTCTGTCCAGCAACTAGACATCACAGAATAATGTGACACCTTAACATACAACATGGAAGTGTGGTTAATGGATCAGGATCTGGATACAATGCACAGAAAGGCATCCATTCTAAACAATTCTAAAACTGAAAAAGGCACATCAAAAGCTCTGAGCATCTGTCTTCAAATCACTTGTTTGTGCAAAAGCATTTTAAGATGGATTAATTACCAACCAAATCTATTACTGAAGTGTGACACCAAGTTATGCAACACAGACAACAAAAACAAATTAATGTGTCAAAATCTGTCCCTGTAATGTAAATAATAAGGTGGATAATATTACTTTCGATCAATAAGACATGCTTGAACATTCAGTAAGAGCAATTTATTGTTAAATTACTTTCCAGGACTGTGGACTGTGCTGTAGAAGCTCACAAGGCGCTTGAAAACACAGCCAGCTGTGTGCAAAGGCAATTCATCACTGCAAAACAGGAGTCAAACCTTTTCCAAACTGAGAAAGGAGACAGGAGCGTCCCACAGAAGTGCCACCTCTCTGCACACAATTACCGGCTGCTTCCTGCAGCAGCATAGTCTCTCTTTCTCTCCCTTGCTGATTCTTACCCATACTGATGGCTTTGACTGTACTCAGCAGGATACTGCAGCACAACAGGCTCCCTCGCCGGACTCTCCATCACGTCCTCCATCTCGTCTCTCAAGTATGGGTTGCCCGGCAAGTCTCCATTAACCTCAGAGTGTGTCCCTGGCGGCAGCGGCATGCCGGTGAGCTCCACTGTCTGAGGATCGGGCTCTGTGACCTCCTCCTCCATCAGACTCTCAGATGCAGCAATGCCTCCAGCAGCAGCAGCAGACTTCCTGTCCACAAACCACTGAGCCCGGCCTCCACAGTTTGGGCTTGTCCCAGAACAGCGGCATCGGTTCCCAGAGACCCGTTGTTAATATTTGAGCAGTGAGAGCAGCAGGTACAACAGCTCCTCTCATGCTCCACTCCTTGGCTCCTCACTCACTCTCTCTCCCTCCCTCCCTCCCTCCCTCTCTCACTCACTCTCCAGTGCAAACATTCCTCCACATGAGGAGAGGGAGTGGAGGGCTCATTAATGAGTCCCAATGACAGACTCAGCCCTGCCTGCGGCTGTATCACAAAATACACAGGGAGATGCTTGAGAAAGAGAGATAAGAGGCAAAAGTAATAAGAGAGAGCGGCAGATACACTGACACAGACAGAGAAAAAGAGAGACAGGGTGTAGATAGACAGACAAATAAGGAATGACAGACTGACAGGAGCTCACAAGAAAGGAAAAGAGGGGGATGCAAGATTGGTAGATAAGGTAAAACAAGATAGAGTATGTGTGAGCTGAAAGAACACACACATACATATTCAATATATCCCAGTGGATTATGCTTACAATGTGCTCTGAAGGTCAAAAGGGGGATGCTGTGAAGGTACATCACACAGAGCGACACATCTCGGGGAGAGCGCACCATGCGTAACAGCGTGCGCCACCATGTGGAAGAGCACCCGTTGGGTGCTGCGCGACAGGATGATGGTGATTATGACGGTGGGTGGAGGGGCGGTGGGGGGTCCACAGTGAGAGCTCTGCTGAACCCCTTCACAGCTCCAGTAGGCTACATCACATCGACACACTCTTCATGGGAACTGTTCGTCATCAGCGTGACAGAAACTACATTCATCCAACCATCATCACCAAGGAAGACATTCTGCTCAGATCTTATATTCTCTTGTGATTGAGCGATGCTGGTTTAAAATAAATAAACAATCTTATCTGTCTCTTAAAGCAGCATGTCGTGTTGAAAATGCGTCTTCGTGAACTTCATGAACCACGCATCAGTCGATTTTGTCACTGAAAAAGTAAAATATTAATTTGACTTATTGTAAAGCCTGTTTCTCACACATTGTCCACAGGATTCACCATCCTCTCAGACAAATAAAAGAATGAACACGGCAACAGATATTAACACAGACTCTCTGCAGGTTCTGACCGATCCAAACAACAGGTGTGGGTCTGCGGGGAGCACAAGTGTGCAGCAGAAAAAACACCAATAGGCTGTAATAATAAGCTCCAGTCTATTAATTTACCATTGAGGATCATTTATTGTCTAATTTCATCAACTTACCTTTGAGGGTATTAAGTAGGTTATCTGATGGTGATCAGTCAAATCCGGTTATCGAAGCCCGCAGTAGGATCCAGTTTCGAGACTTGAGTTGGACTCCTCAATCAGCCTCGTTGATCGAACCGGGTTTCTTGTTTTGTTATTAGTAAATTATTCCTTTATTTGGCAATACAGTGCAGTCATTTCTTCCCATCGTAAAAAAAAAAAAAAAAAGATAAAAGGTCACACCTGTTGGTTTGTGTTTTTCTAATTTGAAGTCCAGCAGCGAACCGCGCGTTTAATCAAGTTGCACTTTTCGTCAAACTCTCATCAATGTTTTTATTTCCTCCCTCACTCCTTGAGTCGTAGGCTATGGTTATGTTCACGGACAGTGAAGTCTAGTCAGAAAAAAACCCTTTCACTGCACAGGTCTGTAGACTCAAAGAAAAATCCATGGATTTAATATCCACACATAGGCTATATGTGCCGTGCGTCGGTAAGATTGATGACAGCAGCCTGGTGGCCAAAGGAGACGCTCCAACCCAAATCAATACGCAATCGAGCAGGAGATCAGCGATTGGCTGCTTCTGCTCGGATTGCCTTAATAGGTTTATTGTGCCATTTTCAACCGGGGAAACTACCTGCGCCGTTCATATAATATTAAAGAAGACACATTTCTTCCACGACTATTATTCCGCCTCTTCCTCAGTTCTATTTAAAAAGTGAACAAGCAAGCCAAAACAAGATTGTGTTTTCCGGTTGTAACTTTCAAAATAATAAATTCATTGCCGACCACAGACACAACATTTTAGTATTATTTTGGCAATTAGTATTTATCTTCATATTAATCTAAAAAAAGATTTTCCAGAACGTTATCCTTGACTTATTTTATGTATATTTTCAGACAGTTTCTTTTTACAATTTTGTTTTAATCGTCTAGTTTCCGGTAGGCTACTCTTATTATTTCTAATTAACTTGACGAAACGCAGGTAGCCATCAAATGACAGCGCTTGATATTCAGAATCTTTTTGAGTTCCATGACCTATTTTCTGCCTGACACACGTTTAATAACCTGAAATCAATGATAGATAACAGTTGGTGAAAAATCACACGTTTTAATTTCTTTCTTTTTTGTTCCAATATCAAGTTTAATGGCCTCTAATCTGGTTCTGGCAAAAAAAAAAAATAACCTCATGGATGTTTTCAGTTGTAGAGAGGGAGACACAAAACATTAAACCTTAAAATGTGTTTTCTCTACTGACCACTGTGTCTCTTCCCATTCCTCTTGCCCCAGTTTGAACTGCTGTACACTGACTGATGTCTACCAAAACCAGAAACATGACAAATGAGTGGGACCGGCCATAAACTAAGTGCTAAATGACTGAATAAATCACAAAGGTTCACTCTGACAGTATGCAGGTAAGTTTCTTAGAATATACAATAGAATAAAAGGACCTGTTTTGGAACTAGTCGCATTGCCGTAAGTGATGTTCAAAATAAAGTCAAGAGGTGACAGCTGTGCTTGCAAAATTAAATGTTATCTGGTATTTTTCAGAGTACAGTGAAGAATACATGACAAAATGATGTGTGACAAGTGGAATTGTGAATACAACATGTAGCCAGTTTTTCATCTGAGACTATCTGCCTGGTGATCCCACATGGAAGAGAAGCAGCAGAAGATGTTTGGGAAACAGCTGTTGCTCTGCTCAGTCTCCTCACAATGATCTGAATAACAAGCACAACAAAAATATGAACAGGTGGTTCTGCTGTGGTCAACAAGCATATCACACAAATCCTGATTTAGTATTCACTGAGCAAGTTTTTTCTAAAATGTGTTACACTTTGAGGAAAGTACCTGTTAGAGTGATGATCTAACACAACTTCATTTAAATAAATTGCATTTCTACTACTCAGTGTTGCTGATTAATACAATACAATACAATGAAGAGGAAAAAAAGATTTTTTACATGCAGCCACTGTCTCAATTTCAAGGTGTAGTAAGGTCCATTAAAATACAATCAGTGAAAGAAGGTTCAAACAATGGCCACATGTCTGAAATCTGCAAATCACTAAATCAACTCTCGTTGGGTATTTGAACCAGTGTTCACACACACACACACACACACACACAGGAACAAATTATCAAAAAAGGTGTGACCAAAATTTAACAAAACATAAAGTCTTGAAAATAAAGAAAAGCAGATTCAGTGGAATATATTTTGTGTTAAATGCCTGCTAGGAGCCAGTGGTTGATTTCTCCTGAAGGCTTCAAGGCAGATGCCAGAGCTCTCTCTGCATACCTACTCTCATTCTTTATTCCCATTCCTGTCAGTACAATTAAATGAATGCCCTATGTCTAACAGGGTATTGTACGTTTAACTGTGGTAATCTAGATTCAGGGTAATGCCCACTGGAAATGCCAGAGGACAAAAAAGGCCCTGACAAAAATGTCACCCACCTTTTTACTGTCATGGTTACAACATTATTTTTCACATTTTAAGGCATTTAGAGGGTTCTCACCTACTGTGACTTAGTGTGAGTCAGCATGAAGGAGTCAGACGTCTACGGCGTGTATACATAGCTTTGTTGTGACCTTTGCCTATTGTATAGTCTCAGACATGCTGGACATATCCAGCACCCGTAGTTTTCTCCACTAAATGCCTTTAATTGAGACGACACAAAGCCCACCGCATTGTAAAACAGTGGCTCACTGTGAGGGGTTATTTTTCTATGTAGCTTTATTTTACCAGGAATGTCTGTAGCTTATGTATCTCTTTTTCAAAGATGTACTGGCCAAAACGAAAATGTACAGACAAAAATGTTTGTGTGCATTTTGTAAAGGAAGCAGACACCACAGCTAAAACAGTGTTTGCCTTGTAAAGCCTATAAGGTATGATGCAAGAGATAGGAAAGACAGATATAAAGGCTCCAGTTACACATACATGTTTTAATGCTGTAACACTTCTGTGCTGTAAACCAATTCTCTGCAACATTTTATCTGTTTATACAACAGTTACATTTTTTGCAGTGTACTGTAGACTGTAATCAGAGCTACAGTAGGAAAAAACCCACTCTGATTCGCCTGATTGTAGGTTCCAATCACCCCGGCCTATTACTTACATGCAGATTGATTTGGTCATGTGACCCGTGTGCTATTATGTGTGACATAGAAACATATTTTTGGTGGGGTTAGCAACCTGTAACTTTGTTGGCAGTTTAAATGCACTGTGATATCAACATTAGAGAGAGCAGCTGTTTCGATGTACCCAGTGGTCCTGCAGATTTTCCATTAAGAGCCTAAAGGACAGGAGTTGTATGCTGGTTCTGTAGTTTTGAGTAAAACACGTAAATTGGGGCTGCCTTCGTTTTTGGTTATAATGATGACAATTTTCCTCATATTCTGATCTTTTACTTTCATGCAGACTTCTACTCACATACAGTACACACCATGTATCACATATCCAATCTGTGCTCAGTTCCTACACCAGTTCAGCATTGCTGAAAGCTCAGAACTATGAGCTGTGTGTATGTATAAGTGTGACTACATGTCTGAGCCTCTATGTGTGTGTGTGTGTGTGTGTTTGATGGAATGAGTCACAGTGTTCCTGCTGTGGCTTCATCTAATTTTTTCAAAGGGAATCTAATGAGTCAATAACTGTGTTCTGGTCTTTGATCCAATGACATTAAAGTCCTCCGTGATACCGCCTGACAGCTGCTGAGGACCATAAAACTTCTGGCTGCTGAGCATAATTGTAAGGGACAAATTGAGGAATATTCTTTTTAAAACTAAACCAACACCACTGTGATACACACACAGTGAACATTACATTATTACTGTCAAACCTGTGATCCTGGCTGCCACATGCATTAGAATATTCGTCTCTGAAATAAAATGATGCCTTAAAGGCAAAGTCAAACCATTTGTGTAATATAGTTACACATTCTTTTATTTGCATTTCAAAATGCAATATCGGTTAACATGCCAATATCATTATTTATTTGCCTCAAACAATATAATATATTACTAAAATGTTAATGGTAATTATGATACAGAAAAAAGTCAAAGAAAATCCAAGTTCAAGTTTGAAAATTCAAACTAGAATTAATATCAATCAAAAACAAGTTCCACATAACAAGGTCCTAAAAACTGGTAATAGATAGCAGGAAAATCAATAAAATTTTGTTCAACAACAATAAATGCTTCACCAGTTTATTCCCATTCAAAGTCATGGAGGCTAAAGCCTTTCCCAGCATGCACTGGCAAATGGCAAGAAACACCCAGGACTAGTTGCTGGTCCATATTCAACTGATTACCCAGAATAACAGCAATGGATTTATTTCCAGTATCTTGATCCTGACAGTCACCACAAGAAGTAATAAAATGAAAAGATATATGATATCCGCTATCTAAATCAAGCCTAAAACAAGCACTGTAGATGAAAGAAAACCATCAGAGGCTATCATCTATACTTCAGATACTGATAATGAAATTTAGATGATTGTTTTTAGTAAACTATAGAATCACAGGTTTCACATGTTACTATCTAGCTACAAACCATCCATCCATCCATCGTCAACCACTTATCCAGGGTCGCGGGGGGCTGGAGCCAATCCCCACTGACATTGGGCGAAAGGCGGGTTACACCCTGGACAGGTCGCCAGTCCATCGCAGGGCCACACATCACCTGTCACGCCAGTCACCTAAGGACAATTTAGAGTCACCAATCAACCTAGGCCGCATGTCTTTGGACGGTGAGAGGAAGACGGAGCACCCAGAGAGAACCCATGTAGACATGGGGAGAACAACCAACATGTCTTGTGTCTCAAAGTAAATTTATACAGTAAGCCAGTAGACAGGATGCACTCAGAACTGCGGAAGCTTCAGAAAAGAAAAGGCCTCCGCAACATTCAAGCATCAGTCTATCTGCTTCTTCTAGCCCACGGCAATAACATAAAAAAAAGAAAGTTTGGTCCAAAATACTGAGATATTTCTGGTGCAGTGTTTCTGCTATTTTACGGTGTTCTGTTATTTTGCCACCTGTCACTTATTCACAAGAAAACAACAAAATAGGTCCAGAAATGAAAGGTACCAAAAGCCTTTTTGATACATACTTTCCTTTATAATCACAATATTATTTTTGCAATCTTCCACAAACTAAGAGCAGCAAGACAAAGCATGGTACTCAGCTGTGCAGACAGAGAGGTACAGGTGTGTTCGGACCAAAAGGACACAAGTGCACAAATAAAATGACAAAAGTCTCCTGGTTTGCAGCATTTTAAGCAGAACATTGGGACCAGACATGCTGTCAGATGTTTTCACTGCCCTACTTATATTTATTTTATTATTTAGATAGATATTATCATTTAAAATGGACTTGTACCTCTGATGAACTTTCAATGTTCTGTCCTTTTATGTAATTGCCTTTACCCCACCTATTATGTAACCAGCTGCCCAAGGAGGGAGGGGTCTGTTTTTGGTGTTTTTTAAGTACCATCCACCTACAGGCACCACATCTTATTTTAAGATGTGACTGAACTAATTATGTTTAG